AAAAAAAAACATAAATTAAGTTAGTATTTATGTATAATTAATTTCAACCCTAATATCTCTAATGGCTTATATAAATAAATTTACACAAAGAAAATTTACTTACCCCATTAATTATCTCCTAATGTTTCCTAGAAAACAAATAAAATAACACAAATTAATATTTAATCAAATAGGGAGAAATAATGAAAGAGAAAATTAAAAGAGAGGAGATTGAAAAAATATCAACGTAAAATTATATCAATAATGTAATTATAAACATATATAAACAATTAATCCAGCAGCATTGAATGGAAGAAAAAGAGGAGGAAGCTGGAGGAGAAGAAAAAGAAGAAGAAGAAGAAGAAGAAGAAGAAGAATAAGAAGGAAGACAAGAAGAAATAAGCAGGGTAGAGTTGTGGGGGAATATATATGGCAACTTACCCATGTGTAGTTAGTCAGTATTGTTTTCACCGACAAACATCACATGGCTAAGTGACTGAGAGCGGGAACCAAAATTTTTGCAATTGGTGCCCAAATTATCGACCAGCTTCCTGTTAGTTATTTTTTGCAACTTTACCGACAAGTACAAGTTGGAAGCTAAGACTTTACCGACAAGATACAAGTTGGAAATTGGAAAGTTATTTTACCGACTAGGAGTATGTTTTTAGTATGGCCGGTAACAATTCAGCAGCTTCCTCTCCAGATTTCGTCCATTTTGCCTAAGTTCCTTTCCATATTTTGTTTTCATGCCATTTTTTGAATTTTTGTAACAGATTTCTTAGATGTTAGTGGACATAAAATTTTAAAAAAATTATCAAAATTCCCCTATATATATGATAAAATGTATTTTTTTTTTAAAATCTGCATTTGCAATACTATAATTTGTTGATAAAAAATGCAATAATTTGAAATTTATTCAATAGATTTTTTATAATTTGGTCATTTTAGTTGGTATAAATTCTAAAAAAAATTTGACAGAGTTTCCCCATATATATGATCAAAACCAATTTTTTTTACCTGCATTTGCAATGAAAAACACATATATTCTACAAGTCTAGTATGCTAAAAACAATTATACCTTTTCAACCACAACTACAACCACAAAGTATATATGGCAATCACACACCATTGTTTTAAATACCCACGATATTTAGTTAATAATAATTAACCTCCAAAGCAATCCAAAACTTCATACCTTTTGAAGTATGATCACTAGAGGTCAAGTAAAATAAGAAAATATATCATAATAAAAGCTAAAGCTAACAGTTTAAAGTACTAATAGAAATAAAAGCAACCATGCAAAATATGCAGATAATGTGCGTAGCAGAAAAATAAAAAAACTAAGGACCCTGATAGTCTGGATCAAAAGTAGGATGGTATGCATCATCATCTTGAGGCAGAAACTGCCACTGCTGCTGATATTCAGGGACCATAGGAGAGGTTTGTGTAGAATCAGTGGAGTAGGTGAAAGTTGAATTCATGCGAATACCTGAGCCAGGACCATGTGACGGCTGTGGTGGGGCTACTGGATGATGACCTGCCCGAGGGGAGATGCCATGAGCGGCTAGAGCTCCTGCAACAGATTGTGCGATTGTTTGGCTCATATTATTCTGAGCTTCTGTCATATTGGCCAACTGCTGTTGCATCAAAGCAATCTGTTGGCGTTGTCTTTCTAACTCCTCATGATCTTTTACCTGTGTCTCCTCATAGTCAAACGCCATCAATGCTGCTATTAAGTTTTCTCGGGGTTGTCTCTTTCTGTAAGTAAAACCAACCATCTTTGGATTTACTTGGGAGCCAATCCCTAGCATGAAATTAGATGAGCAACCTCCAACAGCCTTAACCCATGCCTCGTTATCCATGCATGGCCACGAACTATCATCAGAGCCATGACTATCTGTGCACTCCGCAACATAAGTATCCTGAAAAAGTAATAGTAATAGTAATAATGTTGTCAAAAGTAGTTTGAAAATAATCTATAAAAAAAAGTAGACTTTGCTAAATAATTTAGATTAATTACATAAATTTTTTTCACACTTATAACTATACATTTTATGCTAATTTATATGTTTTATATACTTACATATCGATATTTTGCTTTTTCATTGATCCACGATGGCTCTTAATCTTTTC